TCAGCCACACCATTTGTACAATTTTAAATCCCTGCCTCCCAGGAATGCTTTTGATCAAATATGATTGATATCCAGTGCACAGTTCTACAGAAGAAGTCGTTTGTAGCAATATAGCCAAATTGCCCCCTTTTGGCCCCGCCCCTCAGCCCCCTGGGGAGTCAGCCCCACCATTTGTACAATTTTTAATCACCACCACCTAGGGATGCTACCAGTCAAATATGGTTGATATCCACTTCTTAGTTCCAGAGAAGAAGTCGCTTAAAGCAATATGGGCAAATTGACCCCTTTTGGCCCCGCCCCGCCCCTCAGCTCCCTTGGGGGTGAGCCCCACCATTTGTACAATTTTGAATCCCCACCACCTAGGGATGCTTCCAGTCAAATTTAGTTTAATTCCAACCAGTGGTTAAGAAGAAGAAGTCGTTTAAAGAAATTGTTGATGTACGGACGGACGGACGGACGGACGACGGACGCCATGGTATGGCATAAGCTCACCTTGGTCCTTCGGACCAGGTGAGCTAATAATATAGTTACAAAAACATTGTCAATAACAACAATGAAAGTTGAACAATAAGTGGCTAAAAAGTACGTTTTTCAGAGATACAGAACATTATTGTAAGTGCTGGGACTCACTGCATTCAAAATGTCCAAATCACAAAACTCACTCTTTCTCCATTTTCTTGAAAACAAAATCCTGACAGGATGAAAAACACTGTGGATCAACTTGGCCGTCTTCCCTGCAAATCTTGTCTGTAACAGATTCAAGACAACTTTCTGTAATTTGAATGTACAGTGTTCATTTAAATCTACCTTGGGTCAGTTGATGTTGGTGTCTTGAATATAATTCTGATGTTGAAAATATTATCTTTAATGGGGTTCAATGTCTTTTCTCCCACCCTTCACAGGTGTGTCTCCCGTTTTAGCCGGGAAAGATCAGCTTGTCACCCCCTAGGGGGAGATAGCCTCATGCCGATTAGCATGTGTTCAATTGTGACGTCATTAAACTGCGTCATCGGTAATTGTGACGTCATCAAAAGTGAATGACGATATTAATACCCCGCATGTGTTTTTGTTTACAAACATGGCAGACTACTGTCGGAGGAGCTTTGACTGAAATAATAGGATGGGAGAAAAACAATCATCCCCTACCTTGAGAGTGTAACAGAGAAATCTCCAACCCCCGGGGTGATTTTTTTGGCAGAGCCTCGGGTTACACAACCAAAAAACATTACCCCATCGGGTTGGAGATTTCTCTGTCACACCCTCAAGGTAGGGGAAGATTCTATTAATCATCTTGTAAGTGTTTAAGATACCTCAAATTTCTATACATAAACTTTATTAACTCATTCATCCCTGAAGACACATTTGAACTCCTCCAATTCAAAGGTTGGAATAATTCATTATGAAATTTCAGGGGTAAATGAGTTAAAGTGTCTGAACTTTCATCAAAAGCATTTTTTGGGCAAAAGTTCCAAATAAAAGTTTGTGTAGGTGACTTTAATTAGTGAGTCAGTTGGGAAACTAAAATCAAACAAATTTTTGATGATGGTCTCACAAGCAGACTAAGGTAATTGTACAGAGGACAGGCCTAGGGTGTACATGACGGTCGGTGAAGAAGAGAACGACATAACTCTGTTCAGAGAGTAGCAAAATACTCAATTTCAGTAGCAGGCATATGACTCTTTACCATCTCTACAGAAACTCTCATGCAGAATTTGGCATCTGTAGATGACAGTGAATTTGAGGTATGCCCTAGGAAATGTGATGCACAGACTGTGCAAAAACATTGTCCCTTCTAGCAGTACCATTAGCAAGATACAGGTGTACACATAATTTTATCGAATGCTTCGCCATAAACTTACGTATGGTTTCATTGCGTAGCCCGTCTGGAGCACCAATAGGATCTGTGGCATCATGGGACAAATATTTTTGAAAAATCTTAACTGCATCTCTCTCAATACCTTTGTAAGAAAAAGATACAGAAATGCTTAAAATTTTATCGGTTTACAGTATGTACTTTATTGCAATACTGTCTCTGAAGATTGTTTCCTTAATTTCATTTCATAACAGCTTGCTTATACATATCATAATTTTTGATAAAAATTACAAACATGAATAATTTTGAAGGACTTCAAAGTTAGTGCAATAGAACTAATGTGATGTAAATATAACATCATTTAAGATATGTATAGAGACAAGAAATGTTAAAATATTACGTACTCCTTTTTAATTTTTCTGCAATATCTTCTACAGATACGCCTCGTTTCATCTTTCTTTCACCATCTTCTTGTGAACTTGACCTAGATATCACAGTAGAGCTATCCTCACACGGGGGTTCTGTCTGCCCCTTCCCCAGGGAATATGTTTCCCCCCTTTCCGCCCCCTCGCTATCACCTATCACAGCACCAAGCCTGGGTAAATTGTCGTGTCCAGTTGACAGTTCGGATTGAGGCACTTGTCCATCTTTTTGCGTTAAATGGGGACTAGACACCTGTCCTTCTGTTTCTATTTGTTGGGGACAAGACAACTCACTGTCTGACCCATGTCTTTTGTGACTAGACTCTGTATTTACAGACTCCAAGCCTGATGATAAACGACGATTTCTGCATTCATCGTTCACCCCTATTTGACTAGAACATCTACTAGAGAGTTGTGACACATTATCTTGGTGGAAATTAATGTTTTCACTAGTTGTACAAATATCACTACAGACCTGTTCATCAGAAGTTATCTCCCCTGCTACAGTTGGTGACACTACCTTAATCTCGTCCACAGATTTGCCTGCGGACAAACTCTTCTTTGCAGAATTTAACGAATGAGTCCGTAGCCTACTCCATGTTGATGCCTGGAATCCAACCAGAATCGTATATGTTGGGCCGATTTTATTGCATCCATGTATTTGATTAATAAGCCTAGGGCATCTTTGTCGTTCAAGATTTCAGACAATGTATTGGATAACCGTGAGGAATTTGGCATCCTTGAATGTAAGGAGGTACCACAATCTCCTGTAGAAAGACAAAGGAATCATCAATGTTCGTCAAATTTCTTAATGAATGAGACAGAAATCAAATATTATTTAACTTTATTCTTTTGCAAAAATCTGTGTCCTGGAGGCCACACCAGAGGGTATTATACCTGCCTATCGACTACAAGGTACTATGCATATGTCCAGTTATATATCGTCGAGATGAGAGAGGAATGACAGCAATTGTGTTTACATATACCAGGCTAGACAAAAACGGTATAGCACACTAGCCTGAGACTAGCAAAATCTCCAACTGGATTACTGGTTTTAAAACTGCTAGCCTAATTGACTTATGTAGTCAAAATTTAATATTACAAATAGCATGTTGAATAAAACTGGATTAGTGGAATTTGTACATAAACTAGTAAAATTGGAAACTACTAGTATGAATGACTAGTGGTGTTTGAAATTAATTTCTAGCCATGCATATAGCTTGAATAAAATATTTCCGTTATTGCACAATTCTACCTGGCAAGAATATGGATAATTGCATGAATAAAGCTGCTTTGACAATCTACAAACGTTCCCCACTTTGGGGGGTAAAACAAAACAAACAAGAGGCCCAGAGGGCCTGTATCGCTCACCTGAATATTTTTAAAATAATTGGTATGAAGTAAAGATATAGCACTCCATGGTAGGTGCTGTAAGTACATATGAAATTTCAGAAAGATCCATCCAGCACTTGAGATAGAGCGAGAACAAACTTCAAACAGAGCCCCATCCCTCTGCCCCTAGGGGGG